TGGCTGCCTTATTAACTAGATATACTACTTCAATTATAATCTTGTAGTTCCAATGTTAAAATTATTTTAAAATTTCAAATGTTCCTAGACTTCAGTCATTCTCCACATTATTAAAGCAAAAATGCTCACTAATTGGAAACCATATTGTTTTCACCTCCTACTTTTTGATATTTTTCTATTTTCATTACCCAGAATAGTAGCTTAATGATAAAATTTTAACCAAACTAAGCATATACACCATTCTTTAGAAAACTGGACTTACTTCAGGCCAGTTAAGGCTATGATAATACGTAATAAATTCCACATATTTATTTTATATAATACCATATCATATTTAGCAGACATATGAAATCCTTCATAAAAGACATTTTTTGAAAATTTCAGATTAATATGAGGATACAAATAATTAGGTTGCAATGTTTGTTAGGTAAGTTTACAAAATGTATTTAAAGCAAACAATTCTATGCTTTATATGTAAAGTAGAAAAGAAATACTTTTATGCAGTAACATAGTAGATTTGGCACGTATATGATCTATACACAAATGTAATCAAGCTTTTGCAAATGCTTTTAGAACAGAGGAATTAAGGCAAAAGGGAAATAAACCTTTCAGTGAAAAGTCATCAAAGTGGAGAAGCCCATTCTAGAAGAGCAGTTACAAACAGTCTGAAAAATTCAGGTTTTAGAAAGTACTTTGAAGAAGTCTAATGTAGAAGTTATAGCCAGTGAACTTCCAAAGTGAGGACAGGGAACAATCCCCATGCCAATTATATTTTTGTCATTCAGAAGCTCAGGGCTAATTGCATTTAGAGTCATAAATAAATGTACTGTTAATAGCCAGGCGTTGTGGCAGGCACCTGTAATCCCAGCTACTTGGGAGGCTGAGGCAGAAGAATCTCCTAAGCCCAGGAGTTGGAGGTTGCTGTGAGCTTTGACTCTACTGCACTCTACCGAGGGTGAAAAAGTGAGACTCTGTCTCTACAAAAATAAATAAATAAATAAACTGCTATTTCTCACTAATTATTAATTTTTTCAATCTTTTTATTGTCAATTTATATGTCTTAGGTTAAAAAAATCAATTTAAGTTTATTTACTTGAAATTTTTCTATTGGTCCATATTTGGAAACAATCTCAAATTTATAGAAAAGGTGGAAGAAACATAATAATGTGCTATATCACCCCAGAACGTTCCAACATGCATTTTCTACAACAAAGATACCCTACTACATAAACCATAATGTGACCATTACAATCATCTTGGATGGAATTGCAACTTTTAATCCTCAAATCTTGTTCAAATTTCAACAATTCCAGTAACGTAAGCATTTAATCCAGAATAGCATTTAGCTGCTATGCTTTTTCAGTCTCCTTCAGTATGGAATACCTCCCTCCTCACCCCACTCAACCTCTGACAATTTGCTAAATGGGTCACCATCAACACCCTCTCCTGTGTCTCCTTGTCCCCACCCTTCACTCAGTAGATGCTTTCCTTACCCTATGAGGCTTCTGAACACTGTGCCATGCCCCAGGGCCTCTGCACCACCTAGCACAAATGGGCTGCTAGGACCCAATGACTGGCTTTGGACTGATTTACTCAAGAAGAGAAGAGAAGAAGAAGTGAAATAACAAATAATTTGATTTTTTCCATTATTGAATCAATTTCTTGGAATTGATTATCATTTCTACGGGTTACTTATGCTCCACAAAGTTTGCTGATACAGAGTTTGGAGGAAATGATTAAGACATCGTAACTGCATGTTTTCTGAAGTACCATTTGACACTAAAATTAAGAGTCTGCTACTCTTCTGCAGATTCTTTTTAAATGGTATTACTAAAAGATCTAATTGAATATCTATTAAAGTAATTATCCCTATATTCTGTGAGATATTTTTTCTGACACATTTCTCATCACAAATGGGTTTCCTAACTAACCCACATACTTTGGTAGTAGGTTTATACTTCTTTCCCTGTCTTGGCTGGTGAACTTGAAATACATAACCATTTATAGGGGAAAATGAAACCATTGGAAGTGTTTTTTGGTGAGGAATGAATAAATTAACCTACTGAAAAGTTACATCAAAGACTATTACTCAGCATTTTACCAATTACCAGCATTTTTGAAAAATCCATCTAGGCATTTGATTATTTATCTCTGGCATCAGTGCCCACAGCTGAATCATTCTCTTTATTCTTCCTATTGTTTTAGGGGACCAGCTGAGAGCCATAAGGGACCTTTCATTCACTCTAAGACAAGGAGACAAAGTAATAGAAAAGGGAAAAAACTCTGAGATAAATTATGACTAATCAAACTCTTATAACAGGGCACTGATATTGATTAACTCAAGATATAATGACTCAAAGGTCAAATTCTCCCTGCTCCCCTTCCTGCTCTCCCCAATGTCTTGATGTTAAGAAAGAAATGGGAGTGACAGGGATGACTGTATCATACAGAGATGTATGAAAGTCTTTGTTCCTGTCCTTTGATAGTAAGTGAAGAAATCAACAAGAGATAAAACAACATAAAGACAATCTGAGACTCTGAGGTCTGTCTCCCAAATTTTACATCCATATCCATTGAATAGTTTAGAGGGAAAAACAGGTGACGTGCTTATTGCTTTTACATTTGCAATGAGTCATAAAATGCAAAAAAAGTGCAATCTATTCTCAATATTTCATTTTCAGAAGGATGAGGAGCATGAGGATAATTCAAAGTAGTCAAAACAAACAAAAAGAGTAAATCTTTTGAAGTTGAGAAAATATTTTCTCTCCTGCAGAATTCTCCTAACATACAATTTTCCCATTTATTGGTCAGGTCAACTCACATTTAAGTGAAATATATATACTCTCTACTATATTGAATGTTTAAAGAGCTCTTCCCATGACCTCATTTCATGCAAGACACTATTTCATGCTATCATCAACAGTCTGCCTTGGTGGATGACGGATTTAATTCTGGAGAACCAGATGTAAATAAGAGAAGCAAGTCATGGTGTCTCAAGAGCAGACTTTCAGATGTCCTTATGGCTTTCTTATTGGTATTCAAGAAGGTTTCACTTTTGTTAATTACATAATTTCATCTGTAAGAATTATTTGATCCAAAAAGTAATTTAAAAATAGTAGAATGTATGGAATATAGAGATACTTAAGCTTCTTTAACAAAAAAGATTGAACACACACACACACACAAAAAAAAAAAACCTAAGAGGAGAAAAAACACAAAAATTCTAAGTGTCATCCAGTGACTGGAGAAAGCTAAGTTTGGTGACAAGTTCATTTTGAACATTTGTATGTGTTCCACATAAGTCATCTCAGATGACCTCTACTCTTCTGAGAAGAATGTTCACTACAAAAGAGAACAGCTTGACTTCTGTTGGCTTCTTAATCCTTCCATTGGTTTCAAGCAAAATACTATCAATACAACTAATCCTGCAAATCAGAAGTAGTCACCACTATGGAACGGCTTTGCTTTTCTCGAGGAAAGTCTTTCTGATGCCCTGTTTAGTGAATAGTAAGAGTGACCTCTAGTGACTTATTTCTTGGTGGTGTATTGTACTAATTGATGACTGAATTACTTTAGTATGCCTTTCTGTAAGTGGTGTATTTATTTAAGCAGAATAGCAGTTTCCATTGTGGGAGCTATGGATTTTTATTTGATATAAACATCCACATTTTATTAACAAGCCTTCTCATGAAAGAAGATTAAGTTGAATTTGAACATCTAGTACAGCATCTGACCAAAAGGGTCAGTAGAGCATTTTAGGTGTGGCACACAAAGTATAGGATAAGTGAGACGGGATTGAATGCTGATGCACAGTGTCTGCACCCATGTCAGTGAAATGCACGTGAACCTGCAGGAGAAGAACACTGAGTGATAGCAAACTTTATCATGACTGGCTAGATAAATTGCTGAAAGCTACTCCTGGTTATCCTCCAACAATCTAAATTTCTGAATATGGTCTCTGAATTCAAAAGAGATCTCAAAAGAGATTTTGTTAAGAGGAGGATAAGCCTGAGTGTGGAGAGACAGCAATGAAAGAAAAAAAAAGTACTCTTAGTGCAAGAAAGATATTTTAAAAATTCTAATTTCATGGTTGGATTAAATTAATTAAGAAAGGGAGACATCTCCCTGATCCAAATTTAATCCAAGCCAAAAAAAATTTTTTGTTGTATGATAAAATCGGGTGCATTAGGTTCTGCTCAACTATTGGAATATCATGATTGGATTAGTATCACAGCCTGATCTAGAACTAACGGCTTCCTAAATTTTTACCAAATAAAGAAAAATCAAAACAGAGCCCCCAATGACAAATTAAATAATGTAAAATATTAGCATTTAGTGAAAAATAATTTTCAAGATCACCTAAATGACTGGGTAAGTTTTGTCTTTAAGCAAGAACTTTCTGCTATTACAAGTGAAGCCCCTGTCAGGGGAGTGTCCAAGTGTCAGTCCCATAGTAGTTAGGGTAGGTTATTAATTTGGGGGTCTTAAATTTAGATTTGCCTACAGGTGCTCTGTCCCTATAGTGCATGGAGTTAATTAGTACCTTAACTCTGAAGCTGCCAAGGTCAGCAAAACTGTGCACTGCTAACATCCAAGTTGATGCAGTATGATGTAATGTCTGCCAGTTATTTCTCTGTTAGACTTAATTCCTATAAAATGCTAAACTCCTAAAAAAAGAATACATGACAGCATTTGCAGGCTCATCCCTTACTAAGATGTTATTTTCAGATTTTACAAAACATTCACTTCCTCTATGCATAGTCAGATACATAGATAACAAAGTAAAAACGTGCAGTATATATTTTAGACTCCCCACAAGAGGAAAGTCTGTTGTAAACAAAATTGTTTTTTTCAGTTAGCAGTTCAGTAGAGATTTTTTTTGAGAGGTTTTTATTTTGAGGAGCACACTCTGCAATTCCCACTCCAGATTTTACCAATGATAAAAACACAAAGTTTTCCAGACAGCCTACTGCAAGTTTTAAACCATTCGCTGTACTTACGTGGATTTCCTGCCACTACTGGGCTCCAAGTCTGCCCGGGGAGAAGCAGCAGCACCTTTAGGAAGGCTCCGGCGACTGAGGCCATGCTCGCTCTCCTCGGGCGCCCAGAAGACAGAGCGGAGCTGTTCCGCGTCGCTCCTGCTCTCACTCTCTGTCCCCTGCCAGGCTTCAGTGCTTCTCTCTCTCTGTCTCCCTCTCGCTCGCTCGCTCGCTTTCTCAGGCACTGGCAGACCCTCTGGTCGGGGAGAAGCCGCAGCCTCTCCTCCCGGCTGCAGACACCCCCTCGCGCCCCGCCCCAGCCCCCCGCAGTGTCTCCCAGCACTGCCACCTCAGGGTAGCCTCTCCAGCTTTCCTGGAGCTCCGGGCAGCGCAGCAACAGCTCCAGGTTCCGGGGTAGCAGGTTGGCGGTGTGTCCTGGACACACGCCTCTGGAGATGGCAAGTGGCAAAAGCGAGTCTGGGAGGAGAGCGCGCAGACCCTCCCTATGACTCTCCTCCGGCGCGCTTTCCCCGGTACATCTGCCCCCCTCTCTCCATCTGGGCAGGACCATCCCCCACTTTTCCCCTCCTGCGGGCTTTCCCTGGTGCACCTGCAGCCCCTCTCCCCACCTGGACAGGACCTCCCACCGCTCCCCTTCCGCGCTCTTCTGCGCGGTGCACCTGCAGCCCCTCTCCCCAGCCGGGGCGGAGCCGGGTGGGGCGGCCGCGGTCCTGGCAGTCACCCTCTGGCAGTGGGTTGAAAACCGCCAGACGCTATCTCTGGCGCATTCGTCCCATATAGAATGAGCATCCAGGAAAGATCATTTTCTGTTTCGGTTCAAATGAGAAAGATGGAGCTGCAATAACTCAGTAGCACACACTCCTGCAGGCGCGCACACACTTTGACTTTGCTAGGAATTCTGACTGTCTGGAAAGAAGCATAGGAGAGTGAAGCCAGATTGTGCAAGCGCAGGGTCGAATCCTGTTTTTATCTCAAATGTTAACATTTTGTCCAACAGGATTTTTTGGTATTGAATTTTATTTTTAAAATATTGCATGATATGTTCTCTTGATTGCTAAGTGTTGTTAAGGTTTATTCCTGGGATGAGTGTATTAGTCATTGCACCCTAGTCCTGCCTCTGCTAGAAGTCTAAAATTTAAATTTCAATCCAGCTTTCAGTGGGAAGGAGCAGCTCCGCGTGCGGTGCGTTGTGGCACTCACTGCAGCAGCTAACACGGAACTCCCTGAGTCTACTTTATGTTAGAGGGGAAGGGGACAGATCCTTGTCTTCCACTGCTTTTCAAACTCACCATACAGGCCAAGATTGACAAACGCTCTGAAATTACCACTGCGAGATTCTCAGAAAGGGTTACTATATATTTTTTTCATGATATCCCAAAAGAAATAATAGCTGTGTGTACTTTTTATCTTCTCTTTGGAAAGAACAGCTTTGAAAATATCCTTGAAAGGCTTTTTTTTTTTCATTAAAATGAATTCAAATATAATACTAATATAAGAAGAATCTTAAGAAGTCATTCCTGAATTATTAATTGGGTTCACTAAAACCACCTTTGCATAAGAACTATGGAACTCACACCTCTTTCATTACAAGAGAAAGTTATAAATCTAAAATTTTGATTGACAGATCAGTTGCCTTGAGTGAGAAACAAGAAAAATGGAGGACCTAAATTGGGCCTAAAGTAAAACAATGAAATGTCAATTTATTGTTGGGTTGATTTGTGGAGCATCAGAACAAGTCTTTCAAAAATATGAACTTGCACATTCAGAGTGTTAGGCTTAATGGAGAAAGGCAAAGAAATTTTTCAACAGTTGTAGACATTTGTAATTTCTTTTTTTAAAAAAATTACTCCATTAAACAATAAAATCACTGTTGTATTGAGTGGGAATGTATTATTTTATTACATCACAGGAATATATTTATACTTCTGACTTTTATTCCAAATACACAAAATACACATTCACAGGTATACTCAAAGGGGCAAAGTTGTTCATTATATCCTAAATATACACAATATTTTGTATGCTGAAACCAATAAGCATCAGCATTTTTCTTCTGAGACAAGAAGCTCTGATTTGGGAGATTTTTCCCTCCTTAACTTAAAACTCATTTAGGTTTATTCTATTTTAGTTTTCTGGTTAAAGGATTTGAAGTCCTTTGATGTAAATACGCGTGTGTAAGGGAATTTATATTTCTATCATTGCTGCTATATGGTTAAGCTTTTATTTCAATCAGCATAGACACTTGTTGGGGTGATAACTCTGGCAATGAACTTTGCAAGCTAAGAGTAGTGAGCCTCTAGAAATTACCTTGCCTATTAGTATAGCATCTGCTGCAGCCATCACACACTCTATATGAAAAGGACAAATGAAAGCATTAATTTGAGGTGGCTGATGTAACTGGAACACTGGGCGTCCTAGGACAGATATTAGCTACGACAGATGTAAATGCTTTCTGTGTTACAGCTTTACTTCCTTTCTTCCCCATTTTCCACAATAATGCAATTGAAACTGAAACTTTTTGCTTACCTTCCATTTAACCCTAACCTAGATAATAAATACAATTTTTACATTTTGGTTTGGATAATGATTGCATAATTCAACAAAGGTAACAAAGAATACATAGGTAATAAAATCTAACTTATAATAACAAACACTTAGAATTTTAGTATATTACATTGGAACAAATGATGCTGAGGTGTCTTTAATGACCGGCTTAATTGTAAGACTTCAAATGTTTGTTAAGATAAACTCTTCTTAAAATTTTTCTAGATTTTTTTGCATTACAATAAGAACGTTTTTTATAAAAATTATATATAGGTAATGTTGATAATTACTACCACCATCACTCCAGTCTCACTGACAAAAGATAGATAACAAATTACTGAATCCTCTCACAGTTTTTGCTCTTCTTACATACAAATATATACAGCACTATATATGAGGTTGTGCTTATTTTAGTTTAATGTTGTTTGACCCTGTATTTTATACTATTATTCTGTAATTTATTCTTCTGTCTTAATAATATCCCATATGTGTTCCAGTCTAAGATAGAATTTGTAGTCCTGCAATTGTCAATTCTAAAAAATAGAGTGAGAATGTTAAATGTAAACACATTTGCTTGCCAACTTAATAGCACTGTAAGTTCTAACTGGGGTTTACACTTATGAATATGCAATATCTGTAAGAATTGCTTTTTTTCTTATAATATTTTTCTAAGCAATGCCATATGATATTAATTTGATTTATATAATATATTACTGCATTAATCAAGGTCTAGGAAGAAAGCAAGATTCATTCAGATGGTTTAAATGAAGAGACTGGAAAGAAAAGTGAAAAGGACCTAAGACAAGGCATTACTGCCATGACCAGAGAGGCAGGAGGAGGAAAGAGTGTGCCAGAGCACCAGTGCAGCATCAGAGAGGAGAGTTCTCTGCTGGACACTGTGGTCACTAAAGGAAAAAGTAGCTCCCGGCACCTGGAGGCAGGAGTTAGCGGAGAAGAAACATTTTGAGCTCTGGCTTCTGAATTCCTTCTATTTCTGCTTGTGTACCCCATTAGCCAAAACCAACTGGAAGTCAGCCAACCAAGGAGCCAACTGACGATGGGGCAGGAGGGGTGGAGAGTGGATCTAAGAAGCTCAACAAAGAATGGCTAACACATTCTGAGACAAGTCAAAAATGATATCATCTGTGAAAGTTAAATTTTATTTTTGTTTTGTAATGAATGATTCATGAAATAGTGGCTTAAGTGCAGAAATATAAATCTAAAGCTTTTTTTTTTTAATTTAGGAGCTGAAGTAACTGTACTTACAAGAAATAAAAGCAGAACTTTTTCATTCAGACTAGAGTACAGTGGCATCATCATGGCTCACTGTAACTTCAAACTTGTGGGCTCAAGTGTACACCTGCTGCAGCCTCTAAAGTAGCTGGGACTACAGGAATACACCCCCACACAGGGCTAATTGTTCTATTTTTAGTGGAGATGGTGTCTTGCTCTTCCTCAGGTTGGTTTTGAACACCTCACCTCAAGTGATCCTCCAGCCCCAGGCTCCCTGAGTTCCTAGGAATATAGGCCTCCCTGTGCCCAGCCTAAACCAGAGCTTTGGAGTCAGATAGTTTACTTTTTCTTCTCTTTATATTAACAGGGAAGATTAATTGTGCTGAATATCATAGTTTTCAATAGAGCTTTTCATTAACTTCAGTATTAAGAAGTCACTCGAGTCCACTCATCTTTCCTTATTTTTCACAGAAATAGAAAGATTAATGTTCTCTCAGAGCAGAAAAGATGAGGTCTCACTTCCACATTTGTCAATATTTTAAGACAACAATTCTCATATTTAAGGACCAACTGGAGAAGTAGAGCTCACACACAAAGGCAAATATGCTTTATGAAAGCATTATATAATTTTTCTTTCTGTGAAATCAACCAATTAACTTAAAATCATATCCTTACAAACTGCAGTAAGTAATAAAACAAGTAAATTGTAAACAAAGTGGAAATTTTCTTTCCAGTTTCTTATGCCTGGCTAATAGAAAAGAACTGGAAAATTAGAAGAGGATAATAATCAATGTTTATTTTATAAATAATTAGCTTAACTGTTTTCTTGAGACCGGTACTATATAAATTATATGATTTTTTTCATTTATATCATAAGATACATAATGATAATGTAAAAAATACTATAAATGCTCATGTATCAAAGAAAGCATTCCCTCAAATGTTTCCTTCATATAAAAAGATAATCCTCACCCCAAATCTGAGTTTATCTTATCATAGAAAGAGCCAAGAATATGATTTTAGGGACTAGAAAATCAACCCCAGATTCCACTCTGCCACTGAGGTGTATTAATATTTAGCATAAATTCCTCATGGATTTCAGATCCTTTCCTGAACAAAAACTTTAACATAGGAAATATCTGAGTTTGGGTTGGGGATAGGGAGAATGAGAAGAGGAAAGTACCAGAAGGGGTAACATGTACAGGTAGAAGACCACATGAAAGGTGTCGGTTAAAGGCCAAAGATGAACTTACTCACTTTATAATTTTGTCTAAAGTGAAAACTGATCCTTAAATGTCTTGCTAGAGA